GTCTCAGGCAGTGGGGTCAAGGGAGGCCAGCTCACCCCCTGGGAGCCAAGAGACCCTTGTGCTCCCCATGTGCCTCAGTGTCTTCACTTGTAAAATGGGAATTACAATTTCATCTTAACACTGATGGCAGATTGATGAAAATCCAGAGGAAAATATTAAATTCTGAAATTCACTACCTGAAGGAAAGAAACAGTACATTTACTCTGTTCTCTTTCCAGGTTATGAACAAGTGGACAAACACACACCTGGAGTAATTAGAATGGTATAAGTTAGTTTGATGTAACTTATTCCACAGTATAACAGGTAGGCATTGTTTTTGGAGAATACATTATTTCTAACTCGGCCCTATCCCATTTTTTTTCTATTGGTAGTAGAATTTAGCAGTTCTAAACTTCCTCAACATCTTGATTTTCAGAGAAATCATGAAGAATTCTAAGTGAAATATTAATTTTAAAACATCTAATTCTTATTATAAGATAATAAGACTGTGTGTGGCTAGGGTTTTCTGCCAAGAGTTTCACTGCATTAAGATTTGAAAAGAAATGAGGGAGGAGGTTGTCAATCTCTGTATTGCAAAGAGAACAGTTGCATAAGGGTTGAAGGTTTAGGCTCTGAAGTTAGAATACTTCTGGGTTTGAGTCCCAGCTCTACTTACTAGCTTTTGTGACCTTGAGCAAGTTACGTAACCTTCAGTGTCTGGTTCTGGAAAATGGAGATGTGTGTCTTTTAGGGTTCTTTGAAGGCTTGGTGTATGAGTGTACGGTGCTTAGAATGGTACCCCACACAGAGTTGGCAGTCAGCAAGTGTTGGCAATTATGTTTTTGTAAATACGGCGAGATGGGGTGCCAGAACATGAAAGCCGAGGAGTTTCTGACAGAAGTGGAGAGAGCTTGTGTTTGAGACCTTCTGTTAATTGTCATGTGTGTCTGGGTTCTGCATGCAAGGCACTGCCCCCACTGATGAAGAATGACTCTTGAGGCCCAACCTGGCCAGGAAGCCAAAGGCAGACATTCCCGTGGCTCTGGGCCTTAGCTGACTATGTTAATGGACGTTCCATTCCTCAGAGTCTGTGATTTTGTCATATTTTTATTTCAAGCCACCTTTTCAGCTTCTTTTAAGTTGGGTTTGTCTGGGGCACTGTAGCTGAGCAGATGAATATGCAGACCTTGTAGACCAGACAGTTCTGATTTTGAATAAGTGAGTGAGTTCTTTTGCTTATCTTGCAGTTTTGGGCCACAAAATAACCTCCTTTTCATAAATTGATAATACCTGCACTGCAGGGTCTTTGTGTCTAAGGTATGGTAAGTACCACTATATGGTAGCTATTAGAATTTTCTGAAGGACCCTGAGCTCTCTTGACGATGGGTTTGTAACACACAGGCTCTTATCCTGGTAATTCTAATGATGTGGATATACTGCATAGATCTGAGCAGCTTTGTTTAGTTCAGCTTCAGTACATTTAACTTAAGATGGAATTCTGCCTCTCCTGCGTGTGCCGGTGTCTCGTTGCTGCATAACCAACTGCCCCAAATGTAGTGGCACGAACAACTACACCTTTATGTCCATGAATGTTCTGGGTGAGGAATTTGGGCCAAGTACAGCAAGGAGGGCTTATCTCTGGCCTGTGGTATCTGGAGCTTCATCGAGGGAAGACTGGGGGCTGAAGTTGTCGGGAGGCTTCTTGACTCAAGCCTGGAGCCTGGGCTGGGTAACTTGAAGACTTGGCTCAGCTGGAGCTGCCAACCAGGCATTTAGCTGTGGTCTCAGACCTCTTCACAGCAGGGCAGCCGAGAGCATTCCAAAGGAGAGACAGGCTGAAAGCAGCGCATGGCCCTTTATGGCCTAGCCTTAGAAGTTACCTAGTGTCACTTTCTCCCTCTTCCGCTGGTAGAAGCCATCATAAGCCCACCCAGATTCAAGCAGTAGGAGACAAGGAACATTAAGGCCCACTTCTCAATGTGGAGGCGTGTTCGGCAAAGTTGTATAAAAATACGGGGATTATGGCTCCTATCTGGGGACATGTCAGGGCTTCTGACTTTCACACACAGCCAAGCAGGCCGCACAGTCTCTGCTGCAGCTACTTAAGGATGTGCTTTATAAATGAAAACAGCCATTACTGTTATTTAAACAATTGACCGTTGTAATAAAATTGTTACTTACAAACACTGAAATTTGAATTTTGAATAGTTAAGTATCACAAAATGCCTTTTTATAAAAAGACATTTAAAAATGTAACAGTCATTCTTAGCTCCTACAAAAGTAGGCAGTGAGCCAGGTTAGTCTGCCATGATTAGCTAGATCTGACTTTTTTTAAACCAGAATTTTCCAAATGTGTAGAAGAAACATGTGGATACTTCTCAAGTGTTTGTGTATGTTTCTAAGTATGTGGGAGAAAGAAGTGACTGCAAATTCCATTTTCACTTTAGGAATAAGTTTGTGAAAATATTGGAATTTCAGTCTGTTCAAGTATGCTCCATCTTTATCCTGCTGTGGAATTTTCGTTCCAGGGCTCTTGATACTCATAGGTGGAAAACTCATGATATTTCATTTCTGTCAGAACCTAAAGAGAAAAGATAGGACTTGGTCTTGGAGTTTCCAGAACTGTGTATCATTATATATTTTTAAAATCAGCACTCCATGTTTTTAAAGAGGTTGTGGATCCCTAGACCAAAAGATAAGGCTGATGACTCAGCCTCAGGGCTCAAAGTTTTTTGGGCCTTTGTTAACTCCTTCAGTAATTCCTGTCTACCTAAAATACCAGGCAGTATGCTAGGTGCTGGAGATAGAGAGAAGAACAAGTATCTGTATATATCGCCTGTCCTTATGGTGCATCCAGTCTAGTGGGGTAACCAGATGTTAGACGGTAGCACTGAAGTGTAGTGTGTGTTACTAGGCATTAAGTGGGAACTTTTTACTCTCTCTCATCCTCAACTGTCCGTTGAGTGTGAGAGACTAGGAAACAGGGATCATTACAGTAGTGCAACCTGCTGTTTAAAAAACACGTGAGCACATCCGCTACTGGGGGAAGAGTCCTGTGTCTCTGTATTTGCGTTACATTTTAAAGAACTGTAGACATATGTGAAACTTGTTTCCTGTTGCTTTGAGAAAGGAAAAAGAACAAAGTAGAACGTTGTAAATATTGAAACTTGTTCCATTTTTTTTCCTCCTTAGGGTACCATTGTTATGGGTGGAGAACAAACCTAGAAAAACAGTTTGGGAATTACAGACTGTATAGAAAATTGGGATAATTGTCTCTGACGTTTCTCTATCAGTTTGTCTCAAATGGGGCACTGTTGACATTCTGGGTTGTAGAAATCTTGGTTATGGGGACTGCCCTGTGTGTTGTGGGCTGGTAGGGGCATCCTGGCCTCCACTACTAGGTGTCAGGAACACTCTACCAAGTTGGAACAACCAGAATCATCTCCAGACTTTGCCAACTATTCCTGAGCGGGGGGGGGGGCGGTGAATCACCAGTGGCCTACACTAATGGGAAAATAAATTGTTCTCTCTACATTTTATTGTGAAGGCCCCAGTGAGAGAAGTATATGTTTCTTTTCCATGGTAAGAACTCTAGCTCAGGAAGTAGAATTACAGGTGGACTTCTTAATCTTTGAGACACAAAATTCCTCCTTTGAAAAAGCTGAAATGAATTTGGACAACCCATTATCAAGTTAAACATTACACTCATCCATACTCTATGTTCACAAATTTTTCTAAACTTTATAGTCTGTGCAGTATTTAACAAGGCTGAGAGCCTCAGTTATTTAATTGAAACTGAAAGTTCCCAAATACCACTGGAGGCAGATCAGATTTTAAAATTGACTTGAAAATAACAAATGAAGATATTTTGAGTTGGTTCCATGTTCTTAGCCTGTAAGCTATTGGATTGTGTGGGATGTGTGACCCAAAGGAGATGATTAGTTCTCTGCTAGTACGCTGATAATGAATAGCTCTACAAAACCAATTAGCTATAATTCTATCAGTCATTTCATTTGGGTAACATTCTGTTTAAGGGGAAGAAAAACAACAGTTTTCCTTAGAGATCTGTAATTAAGCTGTGATATTTGATGGGAACAATGGAGGAAAAAGCAGTATGCTTATCAATTTGCTTTTGTTATTCCCTCATGAAAGTAAATTATGATGAAGTATTCTGTTCACAGCAGTTAAGAAAGACATTTGTCCATTTTAAAGGTGTAACTGACCAAGTGTGTTTCTAACTGTTTTGTTTTATATGGGTGTCTGCATTGCACAACTCCAGGGATGTGCCCCTCACACAGAAGTCTGATGTGACCCCTGAAGTTGCGTAGGATGAGACACTAAGTCACTCATCTCATGAGACACTACTCCCTTGATGTATTTTCCCCTCAAAATCTATGTGAATCCAGAGCCATGAGCAGTGGCATTTTTCCTTCCACTCATTATTGTTGCTCTGCAGCAGCCAATGCCCACGGTCATGTAGACAATCATATCAAGAAAGTTTGTGTTTACCTATCTAGCAAGGCATTTTATGGACTGATAACTGTTCTATTTGAATTTGAATTTGAACACATGAAAAGTTCTTAATGCATCATCCTCTATTATAAAACAAAAGATATTACTGGATTTTGCCATGCATAATACACTCCTGTGTATAATGCACACTCATGTTTTTGTGCACATTGTACATGAGATTATCATACCCATTATTATACCCTTGGTATGAAATCATTATACCCATGCGTAATGTGCATCCTTATTTTTCCCTCAAAAATTTGGGCAAAAGAGTATGCATCATACAGGGCAAAATATGGTACCTTATTGTTATCTGAGTATCCTCCTGTGACTTCTGGGCATTTTGCAATTTTTAATCTCAATTAACACAATGGAATAAGAGAATTGGGTATGTGTTGTTTCACCTGAAGTTTAATACTTGCAGTTTGTGATAAATTAGCTTATGAGAAAAAGTACAGTGGGTTATTGTCTTGGACTTTCTATTTATTATGCTTACTGTTGTCCTACAGCTAGCCAAAAAAATCCGAGAGAAGTTCAACCGTTACTTGGATGTGGTCAACCGGAACAAGCAAGTTGTGGAAGCATCCTACACAGCTCACCTGACCTCCCCACTCACTGCGATCCAGGACTGTTGTACCATCCCACCTTCCATGATGGAGTAAGCTGTCACGATTGTTCATTGTTTAAACCAGGAATTGAATTGCTTTCCATTCATATTCAAAATATATCTGTGTTTGTTTATTGCACAGTGTATACAGTATTCGTATCTTAAATAAGTCCTTTATTATTACACAGACAAGTAATTTGTAAAGAAGGGTGACTCTATATTCTATGTCCAGGGAATTCCTGGACCCTCCGAGCTCACCTTTTTGTGAGGCTGGAATTCAGGTTTAGAAGCATCAGATCCTGTTTGAGAGCAGAGTTGACTCAGTCTAGAAAGTTGCAAACATTTTGTCATGTGTCAACTAGTAAGTCATGAATTAGGTCATCTCTCTGATTCTGGTACTTCGCCTAATTTAAGGGAGTGCTTTTCATCTTTAATAAGAGCAGCAAAAATTCCCACTTCTTATTTTAGTGTAGATACCACCTTTAAGCTTCCAAGAGAAATGTGGCTTCAGATAATATTGAAAGAGGATGGTTTTCTGTATGGTTGAGGATATTTTCATTTATCGGGCTAGTGATGTTTATACCTGGAAGAGTAGAGTGTCACGTGATGCTGGAGATTGTAGTGGAAAGAACACTTACCTGGAGGTACAAAGAACTTACTTTTCAATTTGAGTTGGCCTTTAATTAATTAGCTGTGATCTTAAGTTACTTAATGTTTGTTTTTATGTGCAGTTTTCTACCAGTGAATGGAAGTCTTTATTATACCAATTTTCTAGGGCTATTTAGATTGAGTAAACTGTATTAACATACTTTAAAAATTGTGAATGTAAATGTTACCATAATTAGTATGTATTACTCCCTTTTGCACAATAAATACTCCTAAGATTATTTAAGGGATGAAAATGACATAGTTTTGGGGTTTTTTGTTTAGTGGTTAAATGATGCTTTGCTTCTGCAAGCAAGTTTTTACATACAGTTTCTTGGTGAGCTACGTTGGTAGCAGAGTACCTTTAAGATATTTTATTTCTCCATTTATGTGGTATTATTATGAGCTTTCTGGCTTACCCTGTCTGTGACCTAAAGAAGCTCAGATTAGTTGTTTACTAGATTAAGTGGAAAGTGTATGTACCATTTGGAATGAGACTATCTGGATATGACTCCTACCTACAGCACATAATACTCAGATGGACTTGGATACTTAATGCCTTTGAGCCACCCTGTCTTCATCTCTAGAAAGGGAACAATTACAAATACTTCCTATTTGGAATGCTTCAGTATTATACATCTTTATAATACTTATTATAGCTAATATTTTATTTACTATATTCTGCATTTTATTTTTTAAAGTATGTTTTATTGATTATATTATTAGAGTTGTCCCAATTTTTCCCCCTTTGACCTTCCCCACCCAGTACCCCCCTTCCCTCCAGCAGTTCCCCCACCCGTAGTTCATGTCCATGGGTCATGCATATAAATTCTTTGGCTTCTCCATTTCCTATACTGTTCTTAACCTCCCCCTGTCTATTTTGTACCTATCAATTATGCTTTTTAATCTCTACACCTTTTTCCCCTTCTCCCTCCCAGCTGGTAGCTCTCCAAATGATCTCCATACATATGATTCTGATCCTATCCTGGTTGTTTGCTTAGTGCTGAGTTTGTTTTAGGGTTTTTGTTGATTTGTTTGTTTGTTTAGGATTCAGTTATTGGTAGTTGTGAATTTGTTGCCTTTTTAATGTTCATAGTTTTGATCTTCTTTTTCTTAAATAAGTCCCTTTAACATTTCATATAATAAGGGCTTGGTGATAATGAACTTTTTTAGCTTTACCTTGTCTGGGAAGCACTTTATCTGCCCTTTGATTCTAAATGACTGCTTTGCTGGATAGGGTAGTCTAAGTTGTAGATCCTTGCTTTTCATGACGTTGAATACTTCTTGCCAGTCCCTTCTAGCCTGCAAAGTTTCTTTTGAGAAATCAGCTGATAGTCTCATGGGAACTCCTTTGGAGGTAACTATCTGCTTTTCTCTTGCTGCTTTTAAGATCCTGTCTTGATCTTTATTTAATCTTTGGCATTTTAATTAGATGTGTCTTGATTCATTCCTTTTTGGGACCAACTTGTTTGGGACTCTCTGTGCTTCTTGGACTTGCATGTCTATTTCCTTTGCCAAATTAGGGAAGTTTTCTTTCATTATTTTTCAAATAAGTTTTCGATTTCTTGCTCTTACTCTTTGCCTTCTGGCATTCCTAAGATTCAGATGTTGGCACGTTTGGAGATGTCCCAGAGGTTCCTAAGCCTATCCTCATTTTGAATTCTTGTTTCTTCTTTCTGTTCTAGTTGAATGTTTATCTTTTCCTTATGTTCCAAATCATTGGTTTGAATCCCAGCTGTCTTCACTTCTCTGTTGGTTCCCTGTAGATTTTTCTTTATTTCAATTAGTGTAACCTTCATTTCTTCCTTTATGTTGTCGCCATACTCAGTGAGTTCTCTGAGCATCCTGATTACCAGTATTTTGCACTCTGCATCTGATAGGTTGGCTCTCTCTTTTTCACTTAGTACTTTTTCTGGGGTTTTGTTCTGTTTTTTCATTTAGGCCATATAACTTTGTCTTCTCAAGTTAGCAGCCTCCCTGGGTTAGTTTCTGTGTATTAGGTAGAGCTACTTTGACTCCCTATCTTAGTACCATGGCCTACTCTAGAAAAAGCACCTGTAAATTGTGTGTGGCAGGCCCTTAGGTAATTTCAAGGGTGTGGCACCACATGACCGCTTTTTGTCTGTGTGAAGTTGGCTTGGAGAGGGGACAGTGCTGCCCCCTGGCTTCTGGAGGTTCGCCTGGCACTCCCCCCTTTTCTGGTCACTTCACCCTCTTCCTGTGTGCAACTGGAGCCCTTCCAGCTGCTGGCTGGGTGGTGAGTCCTGGAGTGGGTGGGTTTGCATATGTTTAAAGACTATGCGGGCCCTTTAAACAGCAAAAATCCAGCAGTTTCTTCTGCCTCTCCAAACCCCACTGGTTTTTATAGCCAGAGGTAATGGGATCTATCTTCCCAGTGCTGCAACCCTGGGTTTGTGTGGTCTGGCCTGTGGCTGGGATCACTCACTCCCAAGGTATCCCTCCTGATTTTCATCTACCATACGTGAATGTGGAACTGACTGTTCTGCTGCTGCCACCTCTCTGCCCCTCTCTGTGATTCTGCCCCTCCTACCCGTCTGGATGTATGTGTCTTCTTTAAATCTTTGGTTGCCGGACTTCATACAGCTCAATTTTCTGATGGTTCTGGGTGTTATTAGTTTTGAGATTTGGTTGTAATTCTTTTTACGGTTGTGTGAGGAGGCAAAGGATATCTACCTACACCTCCATCCTCACCGAAATTCCTCAGCAAATTTAAAAATTATTGGGTGGGCAGCAAATAATGAACACAATTTATAGTTAAGGCAAAATGTGACACAGCTGAGAGGTGTTGTGGTTCCTTGAAGCCAAGAAATGTACCAGGTGGGTGTCATCACTAAAGACTCTATAGAGAAATAGGCATGGTATTTGATCTGGTCATTTGGAGGAATGTTGCAAGAAAATGACCAGACATATTCATAAAGATAAACATGTAAAAAAGGTCATCATAGTGTCATTCAGAAGAGAGAACATTGTAAAGACCCCAACTTTCTAGCTATAGGGGTTAGTTAAGGAAATTGTATCCTATAAAAGTGAGATGATAAGATGCAGCCATGCTGTAGAAGAGTATTGGCTTACTTGTGAAACTGGCCATACACACACACACACACACACACACACACACACACACACAAAAAGTATGGGAGGAGTCACACCAAAATGTTTTTGGGGAAGGACATTCATTTCCATTTTGAATGTACAGAGATCAGGGTGCAGGTCTGAGATAGCCATTCAGATATTTGGCAAAACCACAGTGGTCCATCTTTTAGTGAATACAGGAAAACATAAAATGTATTTAGTTTCTGCCTTCCAGGAATTTCTCATTTAGTTCAGTCTAGCGTCCAAGAGACCTTAATGGTACTCCTAGAAGGATACATGCTGCTCAGTACGTGGGTTAGTGTGAGAGGCTATTCCTCCTTCAGAGGTGAGACCGCAGCACTGAATGTCGCGTGGGGACTCAGCAAAGCTCCGAGGTAATCTTCTGTCCTCACTAGTGGTTGATAGAACGGAGAACTGCCATTTGAGATGAGCCTTGTAAAACCAGGGTAGTTCTGACTCCAACGCTGAGTAATCAGAAGATGTACAGGTGAGCAAAAGACAGGCCCCTCTGGTGGCACATTAGAGAGAGATCTGATAACACCCGTTTGCCACTGAAGTGGCAGGTGACGACTACCATTTCTCTTAACTGAGTCTTCTTGGCTGTGATTTGAGTTCACTTTCCAGGAACCTGTGTGTAGGAATTTTTGGCATAAACTCTGAGCTGATGCTTTTCTAGCCATTAGCTAAACAATAACACCTTCTAAAATTGCAATACTCTCTCACCTTTTAAAACGAAGATTCAAAAGTGGACAGAGTGAATAGTAGGTAAACGAGAGTGAGAATACTTAGCTGCCTTTGTTCCAGTCGCTCACAAAGCAGTTTTCTCTGCATCCTGTGACTGGCGCCCTCCTGCACATTTTCAGTCTCTCTTTCTCCTATTTCCAGTCCCTCTGAAAGTATCTACAATTTGAATCTTAGGGAGTTCATGTTGGAGGTAAATTCTGAAAGGAAGACTCCCAGGCTTGGGAAGTAATGTAAAAACATACTAAAAATAATTATTTTAAATGCCAGGCAAATTTGGTTTTGAACCATACCCTTTTCCCTCCTGAGTTGACCTCGGGAAGGCACTTCATTCTGACCTTCAGTTTCCTTACCAGTGAGATCGCACCTGCACCTGCCGTGCAGGGTTATCTCTCAGTGAGATCGCACCTGCACCTGCCGTGCAGGGTTATCTCCTCATCAGTGAGATGAAAATAATGACAGTGCCCACCTCACTGGGAGGCGTGTTTCGGTCATAACTTTTAAATGTGATCATTACGCATTTCAAAATTATCCTCTATGTCGAGGGATAT